AGGTCAAAAGAGGTGATCCTGCCCCTTTACTCTGCTCTTGTGAGACCTCACCTGGAGTATTGTGTGCAGTTCTGGTGTCCTCAACATAAAAAGGACATGGAACTGTTGGAACAAGTCCAGAGAAGGGCCACGAGGATGATCAGGGGACTGGAGCACCTCCTGTTTGAAGATAGCCTGAGAAAGTTGGGGCTTCCTCAGCCTATCTTCTCCTTCTCTGGAGAAGAGAAGGCTGCATGGAGACCTCATAACAGCCTTCCAGTATCTGAAGCGGGTCTATAGGGATGCTGGGAAGGGAAGTTTAGATTGGATATAAGGAGGAAATTATTTCCTGTTAGGGTGGTGAGGCACTGGAATAGGTTGCCAAGGGAGGTTGTGAATGCTCCGTCCCTGGCAGTGTTCAAGACCAGTTTGGATGAAGCCTTGGGTGACATGGTTTAGTGTGAGGTGTCCCTGCCCGTGGCGTGGGAGGGGGTGTGGGGTGTGTGTGTGTGGAACTAGATGATCTAAAGGTCCTTTCCAACCCTAACCATTCTATGATTCTATGATTCTAAGTTTAGATAGGACATAAGGAAGAAGCTCTTTACTGTGAGGGTAGTGAGGCACTGGAATGGGTTGCCCAGGGTGCTGTGAATGCTCCATCCCTGCAGGTGTTCAAGGCCAGGTTGGACAGAGCCTTGGGTGACATGCTTTAGTGTGATGTGTCCCTGCCCATGGCAGGGGAGTTGGAACTAGATGATCTTAGGGTCCTTTCCAACCCTAACTATTCTATGATTCTATGATTGTATTTGCTTTCCTAACTGCTGGCTCTGTGAGGCCCTTGTGCTACTTCATGTATCTGAGATAATGACAGGCTGAGTGCAGGGCGATACAGACAAGGACTCTTTTCCTGTGTGAACTTCCCTTTGAGAGAATTGTTTTTCCCCTCTTTTAGGGTTGGAGATTGAAGAAGTCACACTTTGGCCATGCCTGCCTTCCACACATATTTACTACTGCCTGACTACAAATTTTAAAAACATGCTGTGTCAAAATCTGTTGTTAACTGCTTTTTTCTTTGGTTGCTGTGAAAATCCTCAAGCTAGCTCTTTTTGACCATAGATAATGCCATGAGCTTTATTACTAGCAAGTATCTGTTTCATGCTACATAAGCAAAGCACCTCACACAGCTCCCTACACAATCATGCTAAACATACCTTGAAACTTTACAGCCACATCAGGCAGAAATAAAAATGGGAACGACTGCCTTAGAAAAAGCAAGGTGTATGAAAGAAGATGCAGAAGATGATGCAGATTATGATGATTTCCCCTAAAATGAAGGCTGTTTTAAAACACTATTTTTACTCTTGTGTTCATATGAGAGTTCCAGCAGCATATTAAAAATTTCAAAAACCTCTTACAGATGATAGGGGGCTGAACTCATCTCACATACCTTTAACAGCCTATCACTTTTATTCTTAAAGAAGTGAATGAAGTCAGGAAGAGAAATAGAGAACAGATTGTTCTGCACATTGGAAGTTTTTCAGTGCAAGTACTAACTTGTTAGTTCTCTCCACCTGTATTCATATTGTGCCCAGCACAGTAGGTCCTACTACCAATTAGAGCCCATGGGTGGCTGCTGTAAGGCAAAGGGAGAACAATAGAAAAAGATAACAGCACAGGGGTAAGGAAGGACAGTAGGAGAAAGAAAGAAAAGTGAAAGGAATGACTTCTGAGGAAGATATTGCAGGAACAGCAGGAGGTTGCTTAGCACTGCTTTCCCTCTGGGCCATTTTTGGTGCAGGGCAAAAAATAATAATGCCTATTTATTAGTTTCTATTTCTTGTTAAGCCAAACTATTTCTTCAGAGTTAGAGATTTTCACAGACTTGACATAAGCAACGAAATTTTATTTCTCATTGTGACCATAGGCAAAATTGTGTCTAACCTACAGTTTGGCCTTTCATAGGCTAAATAGCTATGCGAGTGTCTGCTGGAGCTGTAAATTCTGCCACAGTGATACAGATAGAAAAAGGAAAAAAAGAAGAAACACTGTAATGCTGCAGCCTGAGATCTGGGTCTTTTCTTCCCTGCTTATACACATTACCCTTCTGCTGTATTCACATTAAGTCACAAAAGAACACAGTGCCTGATACTTACTTAATGCCACTGTCGTGCAGACAATGAAGCTTTAAAACACGTTCATTTGTTGAACATGGCGTGATGCCACAAATAATAATGATGGTACTAATTTCAGAAAAGATCACACAGCAAGCCCTAGCCTACAGCAATAAAGCATTTTATTTCCTAGCATCTTTATTTTTTTCTCTACAAGCTATACTAAATGACCTAAATTAAAAGCTCTTGATGAAAGAAAATGTAAAACAAGAACCCTAGACAATTCAAACAGAACACAAGAGCTATTTAAAGGCTGGATAAACAAAATCCAAAGCAAAAGGCACCATATTGAGCAATGAGAAACCAGGTTGGTTTACTTTAAATGGCACTCAACTGATCCTTCTGTTTGCTTGTTCTATGTTTGTAAATTGCCTCAGCTGCATGTGGTTTCACATTAGGGTCATCAATCCCTCTTCATAAGGTCTTTTTTTTTTTTCTTACCTTCTATGGTATTTGATATGATTATTGTATCTTGCCTTTTTTTTTTTTTCCCCCTCTGTTTTTTGGACTGGGAGGAAAAGAAGAGAAATTATGCTCTATAGCATAGAATCATAGAATAGTTAGGGTTGGAAAGGACCCTAAGATCATCAAGTTCCAACCCCCCTGCCATGGGCAGGGACACATCACACTAAAGCATGTCACCCAAGGCTCTGTCCAACCTGGCCTTGAACACCACCAGGGATGGAGCATTCACAGCTTCCCTTAGCAACCCATTCCAGTGCCTCACCACCCTTACAGTGAAGAACTTCTTCCTTATATCCAATCTAAACTTCCCCTGTTCAAGTTTTAACCCATTACCCCTTGTCCTATCACTACAGTCCCTAATGAAGAGTCCCTCCCCAGCATCCCTATAGACCCGCTTCAGATACTGGAAGGCTGCTATGAGGTCTCCACGCAGCCTTCTCTTCTCCAGGCTGAACAGCCCCAACTTTCTCAGGCTATCTTCAAACAGGAGGTGCTCCAGTCCCCTGATCATCCTCGTGGCCCTCCTCTGGACTTGTTCCCACAGTTCCATGTCCTTTTTCTGTTGAGGACACCAGAACTGCACACAATACTCCAGGTGAGGTCTCACAAGAGCAGAGTAAAGGGGCAGGATCACCTCTTTTGACCTGCTGGTCACACTCCTTTTGATGCAGCCCAGGATATGGTTGGCTTTCTGGGCTGTGAGCACACACTGCCTGCTCATGTTAATTTTCTCATCAACCAACACCCCCAAGTCCTTCTCCACAGGGCTGCTCTGAATCTCTTCTCTGCCCAACCTGTAGCTGTGCCTGGGATTGCTCTGACCCAGGTGTAGGACCTTGCACTTGGCATGGTTAAACTTCGTAAGGTTGGCATCAGCCCACTTCACAAGCATGTTCAGGTCCCTTTCTTAAACTTCCCCTGTTTAAGTTTTAACCCGTTACCCCTTGTCCTATCACTACAGTCCCTAATGAAGAGTCCCTCCCCAGCATCCCTATAGGCCCCCTTCAGATACTGGAAGGCTGCTATGAGGTCTCCACGCAGCCTTCTCTTCTCCAGGCTGAACAGCCCCAACTTTCTCAGCCTATCTTCAAACAGGAGGTGCTCCAGTCCCCTGATCATCCTCATGGCCTTCCTCTGGACTTGTTCCAGCCTAGGGTATGGCTAGTTTCTGGGCTGCGAGCGCACACTGCAGGTACCTTATGTTAATTTTCTCATCAACCAACACCCCCAAGTCCTTCTCCACAGGGCTGCTCTGAATCTCTTCTCTGCCCAACCTGTAGCTGTGCCTGGGATTGCTCTGACCCAGGTGTAGGACCTTGCACTTGGCATGGTTAAACTTCATGAGGTTGGCATCAGCCCACCTCACAAGCGTGTCAAGGTCCCTCTGGATGGCATTCCTTCCCTCCAGCATATCAACCGAAACACACAGCTTGGTGTCATCTCTTAATAATTTTTTACATGGGACAAAGATATTTCCTCTGGCAGAGACAGAATGAAAATTTCTGAGTATGAATTGCAGATACAAGGAATACCCTCCCCATATATTTGTAATCAGTGATTTACAGATTTTATCAGCAACTCCTGAAAGCCAATTAGCATTCGCTTAAAGTATCTTTCTTAGTTAACTGGATTGGAAGCTTCAAATCAGCCTTCAGTTCTGTTTTTAAGTACTTGTTACCTGCAAATTTGAAATCAATCCCTCTTTTTCCTGAAGCACTGAGTCTACTTAGACAGGCTGTAAAGTGAAGCATGATGGTTTTTGCTTGAAAGTATGCCAGTTAGAAGTGCAAAATGGGAGAACTTGAAAAGAAAACATGGCCTTGCTTTTAGGATGGAAAAACACCTAAGGAGAGGAAGAGCCGATTTTCACTGAAGTGTTATTGGACCAGCATGAAATATTCTGCATGAAGGGAAGAATACTTTTGTCTGAGATCAAGTCTCATCTATGAGCTAGCAATGACGTATTAACCTCTCATTAGAGATTTCTCGACCTATCTGCATCCAATGCCCACTGACTTTCTCAAGTTGTTTAAGGAGCATTTCAGGTTCAAGTAAAATTTATCAGCAGACCGACCTGAGGAAAAAAGAGTAATCAGATAAAAAAGTAATTTTCCCTAACTGCCTTACTCTATCTGTGTTGTGGTGGCCTTGTATAGTTTTGCTTTGTGTAACTGTCCCAGTTTTGGGGCTATCTTAAAAATAACGAGTGCAAAAATTAGAAATTAAGTCTTTGTGGTATAAGGAAACTTCCTTTCCCTTCTTGCCTCTTAATAAATCAGCGTCTAGACATGTTGTCTTTCTCTTTTCATAGCTTTTTTAAAAGCTCTGGGAACTTTACATTTTCAATTGTGTAAATTAGTAATAGTTAGGCACTCATTTATTGACCTGGCTTGCTGTTTTGGCAGGTTTGCTGCTGATCTGGGATGTTGTTGAGGCTTGCACATTGCTATTACAGGATGCTTACCAACATGGTAATACTGCAGATGGAGATCTGGAGCATATCAGGAGTTGCCATACAGCTCTGGGGGCTGATAAATGGGTCCATAGATTTGTTCAGGTCTTTTTATGATTTCCAGTATGTCTCCACAGTAGACCTGTGAAGGGAATGGGTAAAAAGATGTGGACATCAGTGGCTTGAAACTCAAAGTCATCTCACCCATTGAATCTTTCTTACTTTGTTTAGTGGCAGTGAATCGCAAAGGGAGGAGGGCACTGGAACTATAAAAATGTTACACAAGTTGCATTCTTCCTCCTCTCCTGAACAGATCTGTGTATTTGATTGCAGTGGATTGTTAAGAAATGTTTGTCAGACCCATGCGGAAAGGGCTGAGAAAAACCTGGGAAAGAAAAGTCAGCATCTGGAGCAAGTTCATAATATCAATGCTCCATACCACAGTAGTCAGAACTGAGATCACCAACCTTTTATTGTTTTCTAAATAAACCCTTTTTAATCTAATCTTTCTGAACATTTTGGGGAGGCAAATACTCCCACAGAATGAATTACTAAGCTTTTAGTACCGGCTACGCATAAGTCAATTTTTATTGTTTCCCTTCTACCTCACTTTCTCTTCACTTCCATAGAAAAACAAGAAAAACAAGTGTGGCAAAACCCCCCCAAACGACCAAGAAGAAATGGCAGAGAAACTGTCATCTCCTTCCCTCCAAATTTCAAAAAGTGACTGCTATCTGAAATACAGGATGTATATACATACCTATTTAGAGAAATTGCCAAAGCCATGGCATACAAAAACCTTGGATCACAAACTAAAACATGAGTACCCCTTTGTTGTGCACCATTTCATAGGTGAACTCCAGTGAAAACCTAATACTTCTTGTTCCTACTTTGCATCCACACAGAAACTCTATTCTTTTCCTTTTGTCCTGGGTTCAGCAGTAGCAGTCATGTTTCTCCTTCATGGTAGCTGGTACCGTGCTGTGTTTTGACTTCCAGCCTGGGAACAGTGCTGGTGATACCGATGTTTTTGGCTGTTGCTAAGTGATGTTTACCCTGACCAAGGACTTTGTGAGGCTCATGCTCTGCCAGGGAGCAGGGGAAGCCATGAGGAAGCAGAGACAGGGCATCTGACCCAGGCTAGCCCAAGAGGTATTCCATACCACAGCACGTCATGCCCGGGGTGAGGGGTAACTGGGAGTTACCCGGAAGGACGCGGGCTTCCAGGTGGGACTTGTTTCTTGGCCGGTGGTATCGTATTCTCTTCCCTTGTTATTTTCTCTTATCATTGTTGTAGTTGGTGGTAGCGGTGGTGATTTGTGTTGTACATTGGTTGCTGGACTGTTCTTGTCTCAACCCGTAGGAGTTGCACTCTTTTGATCCTCCTCCCCGTTCCTCCAGGAGCGGGGAAGGGGAGAGCCCCGGGGGGAGGGGCCTCGATTGCTCTCAGCCCGGCACCACTCACTGGGAGTGAGTGAACAAGCTGTCTGGCTAGGGTATAAACCACGACACTTTTCACCCTGATTATGCAAGTCATAAAAAAGCAACAGAAAAATTCCCTGAATTGACAAGGGGGAGGTTGAATAATAGCAGTTCTCCATATTTGAAACTACATTGACTGCTACTTGCAGAAACACTATGGAAGATGGTTAATCCATCATTGCTTTATAATGCCAGAGAGAGCTCCCTGCAGGAAAAGTATTTCCTGGAAAAAATGTGCAATGCCATAAATGGCTATATTAGAATAGACATCAAGGGATGATACACAGAGACACTTATGGAAAAATCAAACAATACTTCTGACACTGTCCTACTGCAAGACTAGAGGCTGGCTTTTGCCTCTAGCACAGTGCATATACTACTTACAAATGTATGCTGCAAGGATTTTCTTATTGTCTATAAAATTGATTTTTAAGATAAAATTAAGAGACAGACCAGTGAATTCTGATATGGCTGTGATTCCATTCACTTTCTCCAAAAGCGCTATTTATGCCCAGTTATGAAAGGTCTTTGATAATCTGCACATATTTCTGCACTTCATTACATTGCAGTGATAACACAATAATTTTTAAAAAATCCATAATAAAATGTTTGTAAAAAAGGATAGGGTTTGAATATAGTTTGATGGACTATTTATTATAAAGAAATCCACATTCAGCTAAAAAATGAGTTCATGACATCTAATTCTGTTCATTTAAGCATTTAGATTCAATTTTGTATTCTGGAGCTGTAGCACTAAGTATTTTTCTTCATGTTCATCTGCCTGTATTCTTCTTTAATGACTGGTAAAAAGCCATAGGAAGGACCCTTCAAATAACAGAGTCAATTTTCCTTTAGCAGAAGTCATATGTTGCACATCTGAAACATTTTCAATACCTTAACCTAAGCCAAACAGGTAAGACCTATTGAGAAAATACTGAAGAAGCCACACTGAAATCGTAGTCTGGACAACCAGATATTCATCATTATTGTCTCTTCTCTCTGTTCTAGTGATATTTTGAGGAGGTTTACAAGCATTCAGTGCAATTACTTTCTGGACTGGTTATCAATCAATAGACATTGCAATGCCCTTTTTCTATAGCCTCCTGAGGTATTTCTTTTTTCACTTTCCTCAGATACATCTCTCACTAAATAAAAATAAAGAAATAAAAAACCCCTATGTTTAATTCATCTTGGGCTGCCTGCAAAAAGCACTGTAAAAAAACCCAGAGCAAAATCCCTCCCATACTAGAGTTTTGTGTTGGCAAGTATCTTGCTTTCTTCTTGTCTTCTGAACAGACAAATGAAGCCAAACACCCAGCTCTAAGAAACACCTTATTTCAGTCTTGCTAATTCCAAGCTATGAATTTGTACATTCCTATGGCCACACGCCCTTATTGCCTTCAAAAGGAAAATGTGATTACTTTAAGTATATTAGTACCTTTCTGTTTTTTCTGTTCCACTTTACACATTGAAATGTGTTCTTACTTTCCAGTTGCCTTCCAGACTCAGGAGGTTTGGAAATTTTTATTTTTGTAAATGAGATTATCATATCCACATGATCCAGGAGATATGATAACAAAGCAAAACGTGCAGCCATTAAAACTCGGTAAAATTGGTGGAGTTAATCACAGTACTGTCAATCAAACAGCAGGTATGCTTACAAACCTAAGTAGTGTGATTTTCCACATGCACTGGGGTGAACCAAAAAAGCGTGTTATAAATCTCTGCTGCTTTTAGGAATAATGTGTTTGGCCTGATTGCACTGCTAAGTGTTGCAGAACCCTTTGCCAAAACAAAAGGCTGCTGTACAGGATTACCTAAGTGCACCCCAAGGGAAGGGAAAGCCATGGACTCCACAAGGAGTGCTCCCCTCCATGTTGTTAACCACAGAGAAACCCTCCATCTTGCCTATGACTGTCCTGATTTACCTAAGAGAATGAAGATCTAAATGATCTGTTAAAAACTGGCTCTGCACAAAAGAGGAGGTATAATCCAGAAGGCTTGCAGAAGTTTTGCAAGGGGAAACATTGGCAAGCTTGGAGGCAGAGGTGGGACAAAAAAATCCTGCCTCAGCTGTTGCTATGGAGTTCAGCTCAGGGAAAAGAAATTATTAACCTTGGCCTTTCACTTCATGCTGATTTTGTTATGCTTTATGTTGAAGAAGCTGCCTGTGCCACCTAGCCAACTGTCATAGCTCCAAAGGGAGGACCTGTAGCTGAGGCTGGACCAGCTGAACTCATTGTGCCTGGAAGCTGCAGGTAGGGAGGGAGGAAGGTGCAGACCAGCCTTGGATGGGACAGTAATGGGGGAGGCAGTTCAAGGCCCACAGGTCCTCTTGTGACTGGAGGGCTGTGTTCAATGAGACTCAAGGAGCAACATGCAACAAATACCTCACTTCCCCTGTTACCAAATATTCAAAACTTCTGCAGATGACAATGCTTGACTTCACTTCAAATATGAAGTCACCAAACTCAGATAAAAAAGGGCAAGAAAGGTTGTTCTTCAATGTGGATTTAATAAAACATTTCTTTACCCTTCAGGTAGCCAGCAGAACTGAGCAAGCACAGATGCAGAGACTGTGAATTTCAACACAGACATAAGAAACCACAAAAGAAATTGAACAGGAATCAGAATCACAGAATGGTTTGAGTTGGAAGGGACCTTAAAGATCATCCCGTTCCAACCCCCTGCCATGGGCAGGGACACCTTCCACTAGACCAAGTTATTGAAAGCCATCCAACCTTGCCTTGAACACCGCCAGGGAAGGGGCATCCAGAGCCTCTCCGGGCAACCTGTTCCAGTGCATCACCAGCCTCCAAGTAAAGAATTTATTCCTAATACCTAAATAAAATTTCACCTCTTTCAGTTGAAAGCCATTATCCCTTGTCCTGTCACTACTTGCCCTTGTAAAAAGTCCTTGTCCAGATTTCTTTTAGGCCCTCTTTAGGTTCTGAAAGGCTGCTATAAGGTTTCCTCAGAGCCTTCCCTTCTCCAGGCTGAACAAGCCCAACTCTTTCAACCTGTCTTCATAGCAGAGGTGCTCCAGCCCACAGCGATCTTCGTGGTCCTCCTCTGAACATGCACCAACAGTCCCACGTCAGAAGGACCATCTATCTCCCCAGGCAATGCTCTCTGGTTGGTGGGTTATCAGCCTCATGCACCCATCCTTCAACACTCTTAGGAGAGAAGGTGTAGAGAAAGAAAAGGACCCTGAAACAACCCACCAGAGATCCAGTAAGTGATTAATAGTTAGGATATCTTTCTCATAGCTGTTTTTCCTAGCTAGAAAGGCTAGCTCCCCTTCTCAGGCAATGTAGCAGCAGACTGAACAAAAGTTCCTCAGGGATTATTGGAGGTAGTTTCACCTTTCCAAGCAGGAGGGAAGGAAAAACTTGGCACAAAATTCCCAGTGTTTGCTAGGCCAAATTTTCAGATACTTCTAGACTCAATAGGTACCAGCATCAGATATCTTTGTTAAGAAACAAGGACAGTCATTGTGCCTGTATAACCTATCTGACTTGTAAAAATTATTCTGTATGCTGAAAAACATTTTATTTTCCATAATACAACAGAGTACAAAGAAGTCTCTGACTTGAGAGCCAAAGTAGGAACTTTTCAGCTGTACTTTTGCTACAGTTTAACTACGTCAAGAATTACATT